AAAGGATTACATGATGTTCTTCTGGAGAGTCGGAAACTTAACTTCAGCGGGGAGAAACCCGATGGGGGACATAAAACCAAAAGGCAAGGTCTCCCACACCCCCAACAGAGGTCTCAGTCCAAAAGTGGCTGGCTCTGTTCCTCAGGGCTCAAGGTGAGGCAGAACATCACGGCGGGCGGGCAAGTGTGGCAGGGGGAACCAGCTCACATGATGACCAGGAAACAAAGAGAGAGGTTTCCACTTGCCATATACAAATATATACTCCAAAGCCACACCCCTAATCCTTACCTCCTCCAGCCACATCCTACCACTTCAGTTACTACTCAGGGGATTAATTCACTGATTGAGTTAAGACTCTTACAACCCAATCATTTCTTCTGAACCTTCTTGCATTGTCTGACACTTAAGCTTGAAACATCCAAACCATAACATAATCCCAGTGATTTGGGAGGCTGAGGCAGAAGGATTGCAAGTTCAAGGCCAGCCTCACTGAGATTTAGTGAGCCCTGTCTCAAAATAAAAAGAGCAGGGGTAATGTACCCATGGGTTCAGTCCACAGGGACCCTGCCCCCCAAAAAAGGTAATTTTTTTTTTTAAAGCTACCTTATCTCTTTGGTCAAATAGTGAAGGAATTTAAGAGTCATGTGCCTTTGATATGTGTTTTTCCTTTTATTTGTGATTAGACTTTGCTTTTTATTTCTTCAGAATGTCCATGTGAACCTTTGCAGTGTGAAGGCCCAGGCAGCAGATTATGCAACCACTACTGCCTTTAGTATAACTGTTGATTAGAGGAGAGGTATGTGTTGCCTAAACACATGAGTCTTTGATTACAGATAGGTTTTTATTTCTGCATAGACTATTCAAATGAAGATTATAATTATGTGTATTTTATAGAATTTTAGGATTTAACTCACACATTTACAAATATTAAAGCTTATGTAGTACATGATAAGCATTTGGTAAAAGTTTAATATTACTAGTATAATTATTATATGTAAAAATTGAGTCATTTTACATAGACTACTGTAAACATTGAAGCTTTTGTTATATATCTGGGTTCCCAAAACCACCAGCATGAGCTTTGTGTTCTTTCAAAGGTGAATATTGCTTTGTAAGAGTATATTCATGGTCAGGTGTGGTAGCACACATGCAGTTCCAGTTACTTGGGTGGTTGAGGTAAGAGGATCCAAGTTTGAGGCTAGCCTGGGCAACTTATGGAGATGCTGTCTGAAAATCAAATTTATAAAGGGCTGGAGTACAGCTCATTGGTAGAATACTTGTCTAGCATGTGTGAGGCTTTGGGTTCAATCCTTCATACTACCAAAAGAAAAACATATATAATATAATATATTTATATGTGTGTATATATTTTATTCATGAAGTAACTGTGGATTTAGGTATTAGGTGGCAGAAAGGAAATTGTGATGGGGGGGGGCCTTCTGAAGTCCTCCAGATTTAAAATCTCCAGGTTAGGGTCAATGAATGATTAGGAAAAAAACGTCCAGGGAGTAGTCAAAAAGTTTGAGAAAAGGTTTTTTTTTTTTTAGGATGGGGGACTGAATATATTTAAAGACTGAGGGAGAAATATTACCTAGGTATATCATAGTAATTATTTTCTTCTTATCAGGGTCATAGCATAAATGGGTCCTTGATTTTATATGTCCAGTTTCTGAGGATGTTATTCAATTTATATTTTGTAATTTGGGTAAGAATTCAATTGTAAATATTTTAATATTTACAATTATATATTTAGTGGTTTTACTTATTAATGCAGAAAAGATATTTTGTAGATATATAAAGTATTAAACTGACTTTTTTATTAGTCTATATTAATTATACAGAATAAGTCCCCTTGTTTAAATTGACTTTTAAAGTTGCCAAGAAATTTTTACATTAAAAATTTTAAAAAATATTTATTTTTTAGAAGTAGTTGAAACAATACCTTTATTTTATTTATTTTTATGTGGTGCTGAGGATCGAACCCAGGGCCTCACACGTGATAGACAAGCGCTCTACCACTGAGCCACAACCCCAACCCCAACATTAAAATTTTTTGGAATGGAAACTTCTGAATTATTCACTGAGTTCATAATTATATCTATCCTTGCAGTTGTAATTTAGTTTTATAACAATGACAGTTCAGTGCTTTTTATTTGTTGACCAATTCCCAGAAAAAGCTGAGTTATTTCCAAGTGTAACCAAGGTACCATAACTTGTAATCACGACACACGTTCTGATCCTTTTATAACTTCTTTTAATTATAAGAATAATAAACATATTCATATAATATTCAGGCATGTAGATTTGATATCAGGTGTAAGATCTCTTTTTTGTCACTTAAACTTGCCATTTCTATATCTTCTCATTGTTCATTTCTTCAGACTGTGTATGCCTATGACAACATTAATAAAGGTGTTAGGGAAACAGGGTTCTCAAACAGAATCATGTGCAGGGCAAGCTGGCACAGGAGCAGAGTATTACTCTGGTCAGCTTTACTGAGGTAGTCAAAGAGATGTTTTTATAGGCAGTGAAAGTAGATAGGCCACTATCTCTACCATGGAGATTTTTTTGATAGGATATTTAATTCCTTTATTAAAATTAGCATCAATTTTTCCTGGGAAACTTATGATATGAAATCTAATTTGAGCACAATTTTTTTGGACTCAAATTTACTTCATGATTACAAAACAAATATGGCAAGTTACCATTTTGAGGCAGGTTGCTTAACATCTTTTTAGATTGATTTCACTCATTTAACATTGAAGCTTATGAAAGAGAATAAAATCATGACATTTGCAGGTAAATGGATGGAGTTAGAGAAGATAATGCTAAGTGAAGTTAGCTAATCCCCAAAAAACAAATGCCTAATGTTTTCCCTGATATAAGGAGGCTGATTCCTAGTGGGGTAGGGAGCAGGGAGCATGGGAGGAATGGAGGAACTCTAGATAGGGCAGAGGGGTGGGAGGGGAAGGGAAGGGGAATGGGGTTAGAAATGATGGCGGAATGTGATGGACATTATTATCCAAAGTACATGTATAAAGACACGAATTGGTGTGAATATACTTTGTATACAACCAGAGATATGAAAAATGGTACTCTATATGTGTAATAAGAATTGTAATGCATTCTGCTGTCATATATAAAAATATTTAATTTAAAAAAAATTGAGGCTTACCATTTGCCAGGTGTTATATTGTCTAGTTCTTATTTAAACTTTACGATCTACCCTTTCCTCCTGACCTCTTAGAAAAAAATAAATCAGGGAACTGGGGCTTTTAAAGTTAATAACTTCTAAGCCAGTAGAATGACCTGGAGAGCATATATTGCTGGATCCTTGAGTTTCTGATTTTGTAGGTTTACCTTAGAGTTCAAGATTTTTTATTTTTATTTTTATTTTTTTTGATGCTGCTGGTCCTGGGACTGTACTTTGAGAACTACTGTTTACATCTCACTTGGTTCCTCTTAGGAGTTGAGGGAGAATTCACATGTTGTGATTGTGTTGATAATCATTAATATTGACTGTTTACTGTGTGCTAGTTACTATTCCAAGTTAATTCCTTTTTATCCTCACATCAATCTTAGGAAGTAATTAAATTGCAGTGAGAGGATGTGTTATGTGGGAGGGGTATGAAAATAAGAGGAGGAAATTGAGGTAGAGAAGTCCAGTTAAGATGTCTTATAGTGTGTTAGTTTAGAGGTGGTTACCCTCATTATTGCTTCTGTCAGCTGAGCTGGTTTCAAAGACCAGTAGTCTTGGAGCCATCTCTAGATTTCATGCAATGGGGAGGTTGAAAGAAAAGGGAACCTTTCTTTTCATCCATTGGTCTTTTGTGTCTTTGGAGGACGGTTATAGACTAGGCCTGGGAATCCTTTTCATGTCACTCTCCCAGTAATCTGAAGGGTAGATAATGTACTTTGTTATTCTGATGAATGATGTGGTTCTGGAAGTGACCCATATTTCAGGTGAGCTATGAGACTTTTGATATTCATTAGCACAGATAAAAGAGGTTCCAGGATATTTCCTATATAAGATCCATGGCATTGATGCCAGTATATTAAATTAGAAAGTATGTGGAATGGTGGCAGCCACCCTGCAACAAGGTATTCACTAATCTATGATATTAACCTGCCATCACTGCTCCAGTAGCCTGGGAAAATTCCAAAAGCAAAAACAAAGGGAATAAAAAAAAATAATCTGTAATTATGTCTGAAATCTGTATTTTGCTTAGGAAACCAGGTAGTTTCCTCATGGGTTTTAAAGAAAAAGTTTTAAAGAGTAATTAGTATTAAAGAGAAAGTATCTTAGAAAGTAGTTTTAGGAGAAAGTGTAAGGCGGTTTGAAAAGGTGAGATCAGATCATATTGGTATATTAATACTTTGTGTTTGGTTCTGTTAAAATTTTTTTGAGTGACTGATATATATGGAATACTTATAAAAGTAAGACATGTTTTCTTTCCTGTCAAGGAAAACTCATAGCAGACCTCACAGTTGAGTGTTTAGTTGATTTGTATAAGAGCATTCAAATTTGAAATTAGTATAGTTTGTTGCATATATTCTTATCTTAGAAGTAATGATATCATTTTAATGACACCAGTGCTTGAATCCTGGGGCAAAGTTTTATTTTCAATGGGACAGCAATTTTGCCACAGAATTAGAGCTAGATCCCAAGCCTCCTCACTTTCAGCTTGGAGTTCCCTTTGCTTTGAGATGGCTTGAATTATTAATTGAAGAGATTTATTTCCCAACCTTAAGCTGTGAACTTTCAAAGGGGGATAACAATTTACTCTGCTTTTTTGGATATTCATGTCTGTATTTTATCCTATACAAGGATGTTTTCTCTTTCTTTAGTATTTCAAATGCAGTAGTACAAACTCTGGAACTAATCAAGAACAAAAAGGAAATGCAACCTAGATACTTAACTTGTGGTTAGGATATTGAATTTTGACATGTGGTCTGATGGAAAAAAAAAATCACAGTGTATTTATTCTGGTTTGTTGTAGGTTAACGAAGCCCTTGTCATTTGCTGATTGTGTTGGGGATGAGCTGCCGTGGGGATGGGAAGCAGGGTTTGACCCTCAGATTGGTGTCTACTACATCGATCACATCAACAGTAAGTTTTTCTTTTTGCTGAAAGCAAACATTTAGAAAAGAATCTCCAAAAATCTGTACTTACATAAAAGGGCATACATTTTACAAAGTGAATTTCCTTATTTTAAACCTCCATTTTCTTAATGATTGATACTTAACTGAAATGCCTGTTTTGGTATTTGGGGCATGTGTATGGATTTGCATTATGGGGAGGGACAGAGAGGGGAGAAAGAATGTGTGGTCTGGCTGGCTGTTTGCACTACAGGGAATGAGTTTTTTTCTCTAGTGCAGGTCTAGGACTCTGTGAAGATTAAAACAAACAAACAAACAAACAAACAAAAAACTGTTGGGTGACTTGTTTACAACCTCTGCATCTGATAGGATGATTCCTTCTCCACTAGTGCTTGCCCAAAGAAGAATTGGGCATGGGCATATGCTGTCTGTAGATGCAGCTGGTGTGGACTAGGTGACCTGAGGGAGGGACTGGCACTCAACAGCAACTCTGGAAGACAGAATACATGTGGGAGAGACTGGAGCGTTTTTCTTCTTCCTGTTTCTTGATTTCTTTGTGGCAGGAAGGAAAAGTCTCATTTTTAACAGCTTTTAGATCTGTCATGGAAAGGTAGGGCAGAGGACCACTGTGGCCATGAACACCTTTTTAAAACACATACTTGAAGGTTTTTTTTTTTCCTTTTTAAAAAATATTTGTGTGTGTGTGTGTGTGTGTGTGTGTGTGTGTGTGTGTTTACATGACTATTTCTTTATTCAGCCATTTGAAAATTCTTTCAGAGAAGCATACAATAATTACAGTGACCATTTTGCTTATTTCATTTAAGAATTATTATTTTGATAGATTTTGAGAACTATATATAATGAATTTTTTCTTATTTCTCTTAGATCTACTCTTACATTAAAATTTTACAAATGTACCCTTTACTCATTAGGAATAATATCAGTGTAGAAAAGTATTTTATTTCATACTATTTATTAGTGATGGCTTATAGCAGCCCTGTATTAGGTATGTGATACATTTTTTGAGAGGCAATAAATAAATAAATAGATAGATAGATAAATACCCAAAAGAATAGCAGTGATTTCTTACAGGTAGATGAAATGGAGGGATGGAAAGGAGCAGACACTTTGAGGTATCAATTCAGTTTTTCAAAGAGCACATAAAATTTATAATCTGTGGTAGAGAATATCTGTGTGGTACAGATTGGGAGTCAGTTTTCATGCATACATTAGCCCAACCTAAGTACAAATAACAATTTTTACAAGTTGTTGCTTCGGTCTTTTTTTTTTTAATGATTAAAAAATATCTTTTTGTTGAAATATTATCTCTTCCTGAAAATTTCTAAAAATTCCATGAAGAGGTCTTTATATGTATGCATATGTGTGGGTGTGGATGTTTGTGGTATTGGAGGATCAGATAAACCTTTCAATGGAATATCTGAAATGTGCAGCTATTTCACTCTTACAGTTACTTTAGGTGAATAAGATTTAGCTCTTTTTCTTTAAAGTATTTGGGAAACCAGAAGCCAGCCTAGCTGTACTCGTTCAAAGGAAATAAGTTCTCATGATACCAAAATAAGAAAAGGAATTCCCTTTGCTTCCCTCCTACCAACTGCCAACTCTTTGGTATCTAAATCCATCTTGCAGGGCTTGTTCTTCTTTCTCAGTGAAAGAGGTATTTGAGATCCTCCACCTCCACCCTGTGGATGACCTCTTAATCACTTTTATATCCCATCCTTCTCTCCTGTGTTATATCTTTCCCAGTTATTTTCTGGTTTTAACTCCCCTCCGCCCACCCTTTCTAGAGATTCTTCTGTCTTAAATATTGGAAACTGTCAAAATGGAACTAAACCAAACTACAAAAGAAAAAAAAAAGTAACAGTAAATTTCTCCCTACCCACTCAAGATCATCCTGCAGCCTAAATTACCCTTACTAGCTATGGTAAAAGCCATGATCTGCTTGAACTTCATGTTCTCCATTGTTCTACATCTCACAGAAATCATTCTTGCTGGAGGTCATCTGAGACCATACAGATGATCAAAACCAGCCAAAACTGTAGTCTCGTCTTCCTTGTAACTGTGGGTTATTCCTTGGGTTTCATGGCATTTCCTTTTCACTACCTGCCTGCCGCAGTCCAAGTTTCTCTTACCTATCCCCTCTTGTTTCTGCTATCAGGACTTCTGTAGAGCCTGCAGTTTGCACCTTGCAGATTTTCTTGGGTGATAATTTTAATTACTTCCTTCAGGATGTCAGTTGCCAAATTTGTCCCTTAAGTTTCAGATGCATGTATTTGATTTCTTACTATAGGATTCCTCCCCATCTGCCCCTCGGGCCCTTTCCATTTTAATCTCCTGCCCTACCCCAGCACTGGAGGATACTCCAGCAGTATCATTTGCTTCCCTGGCTTTCGACCTTTCTGTGTGTCTGGTGGTCTAGCCCCTGACCTCTCTTCCCAACAACACCCTAGGTCTTCCCTTTGGACCAATTGCTTCATCCTTCCAGGCTTGGTCTATTCAGGTGCCGCTGCTTCCCAAAGGTTTCTGCAACACATGCCTGGACCTCATAGGTCCTCCACTCCCATCTAGATTTGTTGGCCAGCCTGGGTATTTTTGTAATACCAGGTATGTAGGAGTTTTTAAAAAAACTTCACATTGCATTTAAATTTGTTTATATGTTTTTCTTACTAAATTGTGAGCTTCTTGAGGGCAGTGATTGCAACTTTTATTTCTTTATCCTACTATAATTGATTAACTCTTAAATGTTAAAAGAAAGGAAGAACTTATTATCTAGCTCACAAAATAAAAGCTCATTTTAAAAAAAAGGAATTAAAGTATATTTCAAATGTAAGATGTACTTCAGAAAGCACTATTCTGAATATATAAAAACTTGATTATCAGAATATAAATTTTTAAGTCTACCACTTTTCTTTAGTATGGTAATTGTAACCTAGTGGCCTAATGGATTTATTGTGCCCTAAAGTATCCAAATTTCCCACAGCAAGTAGTTTATTCACTGAAAAGGATCTGACCCATTATCTCATTAATCTTCAAGACATTTCTGTGAAATTTTAGAGAGCAAATGGTATTATCTTCTCATAACAGCTGGTCCACACATATGTTGTGTTTTGGCATTGTATAGTTTCAGCATTATTTTCTCTTTATTTAGATAAAAAATGAAATAAGGAGTGTTTGGTTGTTTTAATACTATTTCTCTGAAACACTCTTAAATATTTAGAAGAAAAATTTGACCTTGACAATGATAGTTACTTCAGGCCTTTTGTGTTTTATTTTAGCATTTACCTTTTAGTGGGTGTGTGATGGGGATATAGACATTGATGGGAGTGCTTGCATCTATCTAGAAGTTAGTTGTGAGGTACTATATGTAAGGTTCTGATATTAATACAATCAAAAGAAAATCACCTTTTGGTGGAATCAAAGTTGTATCATAATTTTTTTCTTTCTTTTAGTTACCTAGGTGTTGTTTGCATACATGAAACTGCACAGATGTTGTGTGTTTTCAGTGAACTTTGACAAATACATATTTTTTTGTATCCTCCATCCCAATCAAGATATGGAATTCCATCACCTCAGTAAGTTCTATTCCAACCCTGTCCAGGCAGCTCCTCCCTAGTGTTTCAAACATTGTTCAGATTTTAGTTTTGCTTATTCTAGAATTTAGAACTTCCTTAGATTTTAGGAATAGATTCTTTCACTCAATGTGTTTTTAAAGACTATACTACTGGGGCTGGGGTTGTGGCTCAGTGGTAGATCACTTGCCTAGCATGTGTGAGGCACTGGGTTCAATTCTCCGCACTGCATATAAATAAATAAAATAAAGGTCCATTGGCAACTAAAATGTATATATAAAAAGACTGTACTACTGATTCAAACAGTAGCATGGAAGAAGAGAATTAGTGTATTTGACAATGAACCCACATCCAGAACACATAAAGAACTCCTGAAAATCAGTGTTAAAAAGATAACCCAATTTAAAAATAAACAACAAACTTACGTACTTCTCAAACAAAGATGTAGCAATGGACTTAGTTTCATTTATGATATTGTTTACACTGTAGAATATTTCCTTTTTATTGCTGAATAGTATTCTACCTACCTGAGCAAATCAGTTTTAAAAATCTATTTTGCAATTTTATTTTTTTCCAAGTTTTAGCTATTATGAAAAAGGCTGCTATGCACATTTGAATATCTTTTTTAAAAAATTGTGGTAAAAAAATTCAGAAGTTTATTATGTTTTTGTTTTCTTTTTTGGGTGGTGTTGGGGATCAAACTCAGGGCCTTGCAGATCTCCAATTCATCAACCATTTAGAAGTATATAGTATATTACTGTTAATTCTATGCACATTACTGTACAACAGATCTCTAGAAGTTATTTAGCTTGTAAAACTAAAACTCTATAACCATGGGACCAAAGTTCCCTTTCCTTTCCTCCTGCTCCTGGCAATCAACATTCTAATTTCTGATTTAACTGAAGTTTGACTAGTTTAGGTGTCTTGTCTGTTTTTTTGAAGTAAGCATTTGTTTTTAAGTTTTATTCATGTAATAGCATAAGACAGGATTTCCTTTTTTAAGGCTCAATGACCTTTTTAAGGCTCTCTAGTAGTGTGTCCTGTAATTTCTTTACCCATTCATCTGGTAATGGGCATTTCAGTTGCTTACAACTCTTGGCTATCATGAATAGTGCTTCAATGAACAGGGGTGTGCAAATACCTCTTTGAGATCCTAGCTGTAAATTTTTGGATAAATACCCTGAAGAGGGATGTCAGGATCATAGTTCTATCTTTAATTGAGAGACCTTTACTGGTTTTCCTACTGGCTATATCATTTTTACACTTCCACCAAGAGGGCAAATGGTAACATTTTCTCAACATCCATTTCCCTGATGATTAGTGATGTTAAACATTTTTTTCAATTTGTTAATGAGCCATTTGTATATATTCTCTGGGAAAATGTCTAGTCAAGCCCTTTGCCCATTTTTAAATTGGGTTTATT